AATGTCCAATTCACTAGGAAACTACTGAAGAGGTGCATACGTAACAAAATAACTTTAAAATATACAAGGCAAAAAATCAATAGCACTTCAGAGAAGTGGGTGATACCTACAGTAAACACTCTTCTCAATTTTTCCATCAACAAGACCCTCTCAAATATATCCTCCCTCCAGTGTCCTCGATTAAAAGCCAAGTAAAGAAAAACATACATCTTTTTCCAAAACACAGATTTACCATTTTTGCTGTATCCCATCATAGGTGTAAGAAACTAATTAGCAACCTTTTGAACTTTTAGAGAAAGCGACATGCATTGGAGTGAAATCCAAAAGGTCCACAGGTCAAAACCACCAGCTGCTCCTCGTGAGAAAGATGAAGCTTTCTACTCCCATAAACAGTCTCAGAAACCCACAGGGTTCTCTGTGAGTCGGCATCAACTTGATGGCAGGGAGGTTGGTTTTTGGTTTTTCTTTGGCCCTGAAGAGGCCAGGCGGTGCAGTGGTTAGGCAATAACCTGCTAACTAAAGGTGACAAGTTTTGAACCCATCAGGAGCTCCAAGAAAGCAGTGTTTCTCAACCTTCCTAATGCCACGACCCTTTAATACAGTTCCTCATGTTGTGGTGACCCCCAACCATGAAATTATTTTCGTTGCTACTTCATAACTATAGTTTTGCTACTGTTATGAATCATAATATAAATGTGATTTTCATTGTTACAAACTGAATATAATTAAATATAATTAGAGCATAGTGATTAATCACAAAACAATATGTAATTATAAAAACTGTGAAATATGTATGTGTTTTCCAATGGTCTTAGGCAACCCCTGTGAAAGGGTCATTCGACCTCCCCCAAAGGGGTCGCGACCCACAGGTTTAGAACCGCTGCCATAAAGATTTACAGCCTCGGAAACCCTTTGGGATAGATAAACACTGTCCTATAGGGTCACTTGAAATCAGAATCAACTTGACATTCATGATTTTTACATAGCCCTGATGAGAAGCTTAAGTGCTTGGCTAATAAAAAGCTCCTCCTCACCCTCACCTTGAAAAAGACCTGACAATCTGCTATAGACTGTAGCATGGGAAACCCTATGGAGCCGTTTTACTCTATCACACGGGGCCTCTATGGGTTGGGATCAACTCAGCAGCAGCTAACAGCATTTGTCCCTAGTTACAAGAACAGTGAGTGAACTCAGGGTTGAGTTGGTCAATAGCTAGCTGCTTTGTCTTGTCCTAAACAGCATATTGCTGCCATCTGCTGGGCACACTGTTCATTTCTACTTTAAGCATCTTAGTTACACATATTTTTAAGTTCTATTCGCACATAAGGTCCTAAAAAGAACAGTCTCTGAACTTCCTTTAGCTAATGAAATAAACTCTTTAAATGTGTTCCACACTCTGTTTGTGCAGCTTTAATTAAGTAGCCACTGATAATAATGTTTATGTTTTCCAAGTCACAGGTTTATCTGAGTGTAGAAAATTACACTGATTGAAATTTAATACATTCACAAAGACTAACAATTTCCCTATGCAACTACTGGAAAATCCAATTTTACACAGTGAGTAACTACAATGAGTCACTCTGAACACAACATTTTGGTCATATGGCACTTTAATCCTTATTTCTTGCCCTTTTCCCTATCACATAAATCCTCTGAATAATGCAAACAAGCTCTCCATACACAGGCCACTGAAAAACTTCTCTTCTATGTCACTTCAATTTGACTTCTTGGTCTTTTTGACTCCCTTGAAATGTTTTAATTTCCATAAGAAAAAATGTGCACCAAGAATTAATGAGGGCTGATCGTACAATTCTTCTTGATATGATTTTAACTACTAAATTGTATGATATGTGAATTGTGTCCCAATAAAACTGTTTTTAAAAAGAATTATGGATAATATCTTTATGAAAAAATTCTACAAGCAGTTGACTTGTACAGTTAGTAAAAACTGTTTCATCCTAAGCAATCTTTTAAAAATCTAAAAAATGTGACAACTCTTCAATGAGTTCATGGGAAAATTCCATTATCTTTCTTTTTTATCTTTCTGTTAACTTCTTGAAGCTTCTTCATACAGCCATGTCTCTACTGGGGGTAAAAAAAACCACTACATTTTTATCACACTGCATGTATTGTATTTCAAGTGAGCTATTTCACAAAATAATTGATCCTGGATTGAAATACTATGACAAAGATAACTATCTACAAATTACTTTTATACACCATACAAAATAAAAATCCAAACATGGTTTTTTAGTACATGTTTAAAATAGAACTTTTAACAATAATTTTAAAGTAATCACTTAACTTCTGCGATCTCTCCTCTGCCACATAAACATGGCATGAGTGTAATCTGACACTGCACCAGTCTCAGATTCAGGAGAGAGAACTTCAGGAACAAGTTAAGGCACAGTACTGCAACCTCACTGTCACTCATTTCTAGTTATGTGTTGATGAGAGAGCTTATTGTGCCAGCCTGGCTGATAAACGCAGGTGGGATTGACTGAGGGGCGGAGAGATGGATGGCTTGGTGAGCCTTGCCTTTCTTGTCTCTCGCTCTGTGATCATCGGACCAGTGTGCGGCTGCCTTGCTTGTTCTGTGCCTCAATTTAAAGGCTACACTACCTGTGGGACGCCTAGCCTGTGGACTGTGTCGCTGTAAGTTGAGGTCCCTTTAAGACTTCTCTGGGGTTGGGGCTGGCGGTTGGTGACCTGCCTTGTGATTGGCTGCTGTGCTGACATAGCCTAGCTCTCTCTACAAATAGAGAAAGATCTGGCATCAGACAGAGACTTGAAGGACTGCTAGTCTCTCAACTTTCTCTCACAGACGTGAGTTGCACTAACCCATTTATAGTGCTTTCTAATTTAACTGTTTATTTCTTGTATTGTATATTTATCTGTATATGATTTAACAGTTCATTTCTCGTTATATATCTAATTATCTTTATAAATAAATATATTATATTATCAGGAATTTGGTTTTATCTCTCTAGAGAACCCTGTCTAACACAGTTGACTATAAAAAATACTTGTGAAATCTTACCTAAAAGATGTTCTTCGAAGGGATCAGGTATCAGGCATCAAAGAACAAAAAAATCGTATCACTGTAAATTAGGGTTTGTGCAGAGTGGAGACCCAAAGCCCATCTGTAGGTAACTGGACACCCCCTTAATGAAGGGTCGCGGGGAGGAGATGAGCCACTCAGGGTACAGGCTAGCAATGATGAAACATACAACTTTCCTCTAGTTATTAAATGCTTCCTCCCCCCCACCCACTATCATGATCCCAATTCTACCTTACAAATCTGGCTAGACCAGAGGATGTGCCCTGGTACAGAAAGGAACTGGAAACCCAGGGAATCCAGGACAGATGATCCCTTCAGGACCAGTGGTAAGAGCGGTGATACTGGGAGGGTGAAGGGAAGGTGGAGTAGAAAGGGGGAACCGATTACAAGGATGTACATATAACCTCCTCCCTGAGGTATGGACAACAGAAAAGTGGGTGAAGGGAGACGTCGAACAGTGTAAGATATGAAAAAATAATAATAATTTATAAATGATCAAGGGTTCATGAGGGAGGGGGGATGGGGACAGAGGAGGAAAAAGAGGAGCTGATATCAAGGGCTCAAGTAGAAAGTAAATGTTTTGAGAATGATGATGGCAACAAATGTACACAATGAATGTGTGTATGGATTGTGATAAGAATTGTATGAGCCCCCAATAAAATGATTTAAAAAACAAAAAAATGTTCTTCTCCGCGGGCAAGCAAGGCCCTGCTCTGTCCTGCATACCCCCTCTCTCTCATGTGTGTATATAGGCCTCTTCAGCAACCGGAGGACAGGGTCCTCTCAGTCCTCTGAAGATAGACCTTCTGACTTCAGAATCCCTGCTGTGATCCTCTCACTGTTAAATGAATCAGCTCATAGCCTGTATAGCGGATTTGTTCAGCTCTTAGCTGCATTCCTAGCGGTAGGCTTCTGCCATCACTGACCCTACCACAGGGCCTCTTCCAGGCCTCTGTCTTCTGCATAACAGCCATAAAATGTGTTGACTATTTTAAGAGGTTCTTTGCTTCCTCTCTCTCAGCTACTCTCTTCTTTCTTCTTGCCTTTATCTCCATTCCTGCTTCTTCCTTCCTTCTTTTTACTGTCTGTCAACCCCTGTGGGGTCCATATTAGCTCATACACACACACACACACACACACACACACACACACACACACACGAAAATTGGTGAATTTCAAGGTATGGCCCATCCACCAGGACCATGAACTGACCAATTCCTTCTTGGTAGGTCACAGGCACTTCATTTGCATGGTAATCAGTCACTTCTTTGCATAAACATACTGAACAATGCTAACACAATCTGTAACATAAACCAATCAAAGTACAGGCTACAGTACAAGGTGAGACAAATAGTATGAAACTACCAAGTTATTTTCCGCTTACTAAGGAAATGTCGATCAACTTGGACAGAAGTAACAGGCCCTCTGGGATAGAAAACTTGGCAAAAGTACATTCCTCAAAGTTTAAGGAGAAAACCTCTCATGAAGCATGGGGAAATAACACACAGAAGAAATAATTTCAAACCAGATTCCTAAAGAAGGAATAATTCTGTCCTGGAGAAAGCACAGTCAAAAGGCTCCTTAGCAGGAAGAATGAGGCTAACCCTGCTTATATTAGACATGCTATCGAGAGGCTAATCCCTGTAGAAAGATACCATGCTTGATAAATTAAAGTGTTAATGAAAAAGAGAAGATCTTCAACAAGTGGACCGACACAATGGCTGCAACAATGTGCTCAAACATATGCACTGTGAGTATGGCACAGTACTGGGCAACATTTCACTGTTTAAGTCAGAGATGATCCGATGGTACCTAACAACAAAGGTGAATTCCCAGTTCTCAAAGTTAATTCATAAGGTTAAAAAAGGTAATGAAAAAATGTAATCATCATTTACAAATATAATGTAAAGTTTAAAATGGAGTATAAATCCATACATACTATACTGTTCATCTCAGAGGACTCATAGCTTCCAACAGGATGCACATTTCCAATGGGCTCCAAGCCTTCTTCATCCCACATGTATGTTCCATCAGAGCTATCAGATGGGGAGAGTTCAAAGGAAGAACCAGCTCTGTAATCTGTGTCTGGTGAAATCAAGTTATTCCCAGCAGTGTGCTTTGTACATTCACTCGTGTCTTCAATTGAATATTGAAAAAGGAAGCGAAAAAGAGCAATTATTAATTCATAAAAATAAAATTGTTGCTAAATCTCTAAAAATGTACGCTCTAATATCATCTATTACAGCAAAAAGGGTTGGCAAAAGAATATTCCAAACTGTAGAATTTTTTAAATTCTATTAAAAATGTCAAACAGCAAAACACAAAATCTTAAAAACTTTCTGAAATATTTTCCAAAAGGGATTAAGAAAAATTAATTTATCCACTTTTCACTTCTAAAATATCTCTAGACATATAAATAAAAATCTTTTATTGCCCAAAGTATTATTTACGTTTAACCAGAAAAAAAACTCCTTCTTCTGTGGGTAACTATAGAGTATGTAAAGCAAGAAACTGAATTCTTCCTTTCAAATATGAAAAGTGCTTGGGATAAAAAAACTCATTAGGTTGGACATAACTGTATGATCTTATCTAACCTTCCTTATAGCTTTAGTCTTAGCATATAACAATGATCCATTACCCTAAGAGAAGAAATAGTTTTATGGTATATCACTGATCAGAGAAAGTTGGGGAAAAAACAATTTTAAAATACTGCCTACACTGAGTAGGAGTAAGTCTGTATATAATAACCAAGAAGAGGTGAGTAAAGAGTTTTGTTATTGATATTCTTGGTAAAAAATAGTATGAGGTATAAAAGTTACTGAGTAAGGAAGACAAATGTTTCCCTTCTTAAATTTTATCTGGATCCATACTCTCCTTCTAATATGCATTTAATATAGATTACAAACTTGATAGTACCTTGTAATTTACTGGGGGAAAAAAACCCTCCCCAACCAAACTGACTGCCATTAAGTCGGTTCCAACTCGTATCCCTGTCGGACAAGGCAGAATTGCCCCCATGAGTTTCAGAAACTGTAGCTCCTTATGGGCATAGAAACTTCCATGTTTCTCCCACAGTGCAGCTTTCTGGAACTGCTGACCTTAAACAGTTAATAACCCAGCAAGTAACCACTGTGTTCCCAGAGCTCTCAATTTAGCAAAAGATAATGCTAAATAATTTAGATTATAAAGCACCTAGCAGCAAACAAATTTTAAGATATTAATATTTACCAGATACGTTTATATCTATCCATTCATCGGTTTTACTGAAAGATTTCTCATTTTCCGTGGGGGAATCCAATATATCCTTTGGAGGTATCTGTTCATGCTTTTCTTCTTTGAGAGAAACTTCCTCTGGAGTTACTTGAGTTCTGTTAGAGTCTTCAATATCTATAAAATCATCACTAAAATCTTCACTTAAATCATTCTTATCAGAAGATGATAAAGAAGACAAGGAAATGTCATCCACATCATCACTCAGATATCTAATTTTGGCATCATTCTTCATGGTCTGGTCATTTTCTGTTCGGTAACTATCATTTTCAATTAGTTCTTGGTCCTTCCTTGTAGCTTTCTCATTAGCCAAATCTGTAGCACATTCCTCTACACACGTGTTAACAGGTGTGTTTTTATTACCATCAACTGTGATACTCCCAGAAAATGCAGGTCTATTGGATTTCAGTAAGGAAGGATGAACCATCCTATAACCCAAAGTGGAAGTTATACCAGAGCCATTTGATAGAGTCAACTTCTTTCCACTAGCAGGATATGGCCTGTTATATCCATACCTTAAATGTTCGTTCCCATTGAGTACTTCCGATTGTCGGGAATTTCTTGTTAGCATGCTTGACTGTAGAGGCACTCTAATGTGTAGGTGTTGGTTCTGATAAGGCTTAGTAAGATCTACAGTTCTGTTGAAGGAATGTGATCTGGTGATAGATGATGGTGGAAGGAATGAATTCTGAATGGAATGTGAAAAACTTTGTGACCTTACCATTTTTTCACAAGCAATAGATTTACTGTTGTCTGGGGACTGTGCTAAGCTTTCTCCAGAACTGCTTCTAGTAACATAGGAGTTTGCCCTAGGTCTTTGCATGCTACCAGCTGATCGAGTTCCATAAAATCCATTCAACTGTGATTTGGGAGCACTGACTGAAGAATAGGAAGTTCTTCCTAATAATGTCCCTTTGGTGAATTTACCCAAATTTGATGGTCCAGACAAAGACTTCTCATTTAACTCCTCTGTAGATGATACAAACATAGTGGATGGCTTTGCTACCTTGGATGTGAGGACAGAAATACTTTTCAAATTTCCTCTTATCCTACTTTTATCAAACACTCCTTGGGTAGGCGCATGTTTTTCAGAATCAATTAATTTATCAAGTGAATTCTGAGTATCAGGCTCTCCAGCACTTTGTTCACTGAGTTGGTATCTATTTGCCTTTCTCCAATTAAATGAACGAGACAACGCACAATCTGAGCCATTGTTTTTGATGAAACTTTTTACATTGCTACTCTTGGAAATGTCTAAGAAGGTGGCAGGTGTCCCATTTGGCATTGGTTGCAGTGTACTTCTTCCGGATTTTGTTCCATACTTTGGCAACTTCGAACCCAAAAATGTCTTGATATGAGTTTTTTCTTCCATGAGCTATAAGGTACATTTGTCCTTAAAGATTGACAGAATCTGTGAAAGGGGGAAAAAAGGAGAGTCAATATTACTAAATATGGACTAATACAAGGATTTTTACATAAGAATATCAAAACCCTACCGTCATTGAGTCAATACAACTCACAGCAACACTACATAGGGTTTCTCACCCTTGTAACTCTTTACAGACTCAGTCAGCCTCATCTTTCTCCTGTAGAATAGTTGGTTAAGTATGAACTGAAACCCTGTGGTTACCAGCCCAGATCCTTAATACAAATGCATATAGCATTTACACAATTAGATTCAGCAAAATTAAGAACTACTACGATTCTTACAAAATTCTTCTTAGATACTTAGTGCATTTGTTAAATATTAGAAGAGTATTTTATAAACATTTTCATAACCCTGGGTTATAGATATTAAAGTCCATAAATAATAAAATTAGGTTATTAAATTTGACTGTCTTTTAAAAAAAATTAATATTGTCAACTCAGGTACAACAATTAGTCTCTATTCACCAAGAGCAGCAGAGGAAGAAGTAGAGTCAAGAAGAAGGAAGTAATGTAATATGTGTCTAATTGCCTTCAAGAATACTGCCTTCCTTGCCATGAAACTAGAACTGGATGGTGCCTGCCAGCATTCATTCATTGCCATTAAGTCAATTCCGACCACTGGGACCCTATTCTAAACATTTAATCAAAGATTCCATTGGACACCTCTAAATAAAAGAGGGAAAATAACAGAAAAAAATTTCAAATTCTCATTCATCTAGAGTCCAGGGGTCCTCAAACTGCATCGAGCGAGCCACATGAGGCCGGCTGAGAACATTTATCCGGCCCGCCAGGTGTTTTTACCCTTTTTTTTTTTTCACTTCAAAATAAGATATATGCAGTGTGCATAGGAATTTGTTCATAGCTTTTTAAAAACTACATCCCGGCCCTTCAACAGGTCTGACGGACAGTGAACTGGCCCCCCATTTTAAAAGTTTAAGGACCCCTGTGCACCATCCACTGTCTCCCTTTGCCCACGTTTCCGTTGTTCGTGCCCCTGGGGGTTGTGTGGGGGAGGGTGGTATTATGTGTAGATCATTGTAGTTAGTTTCTCTCCTTTCTCTCCCCACCTTCCCCCTTCCCTCATGGTATGGCTACTCCCATTACTATTCCTGAGGGTTTTATCTGTCCTGGATTCTGTGTCGAGAGTGTTATCTGCATCAGAGTATATGCTCTGGTTTAGGAGGATTTGTAAACTAGAACTATTATCATGATAGTGAGGCGCGGGGTGGGGGTGGGGGTGGGGGGACGGATCATTCAAGAACTAGAGGAATTTGTGTGTTCCCTCAGTGCTATTCTGCACCCTAGCTTACTCTGGTTTTCTATAACCTTGAATTACTAGTATCACAAAAGGTTACAAGAGGCTTTCTGAGTAAATCAGACATATGTAAGCCATAGATATGTGAATGAATTTTGAGCCCACACTTAATTCTAGCCTCAATCTAAGAAAAATTTAGTTCTTATGACATGGCCTTGCTTGACGCTTGCCTCATGAAAAGATCACTGGAGATAAGGGTGCTACTGCAAAGTGTGGTGAAGAAAGCAGACAGTGCCCTGCTATCAAAAAGAATAGTTAGTCTTAAAGACTTGTCTAAAAACAAGCAGCCATTCCGAGGCATCAACATGGAAGAAGTACACCAACCTGTGTGATCCAAGGATTATAAATAATAAAATCCAAATCCAAAGGAGGGAATCATGTCAAAGCTAAACTGTGAACATGTAGTTTGTAGAAGGAAAACAGTGGAAGTCCAAATTCCATTTGCAGAGCCCCTACATGGATTAGCTTTCGGTGAATCCCCTTTGAACATAGTTTAGGGCTGTGAATAAACTTTCTAATCAGACAGAGAGCAGTGTAAACTCAATTATGGTACCCTATTATTTGATGTCCCTTTTGAACCATTTTTAAGTTGTTTAATTTTTTAAAAGTGAAGGGTAAATACACATAGATTGAGCCTCCAGTGAATATCCTCTGGCCATGGACCAGTGATATGAATAACTGCTATTCTGCAGAATGCAAGAGAAAGTAGACTGTTGCAGAAACAGGTTAAAAGGTAACACCTTGTGATAGTTAGGTTTACTGTGCAAACTAGGTCAACAGGAACGTGTGGATGGAAGTTAAACAGGTCGCAGCTTGACTGGAGGATAACCAAATAAAGATAGCCAGCATCCCTCCTCCCTCTTGCTTCCTGGTGATAAGATCATCATGCCGCTGCTTTGACTCATTCTCTGCCTCAATCTATGTCTTACACTACCTGTGGGCCGAGTCAACCCATGAATCGAGGCACTAGAGCTTGCGGCTCCTTCGAGACCTGCTTCACCACATTTACATTCCTTGAGCTTGAGGCTGGTGGGTCCTGTCACCCTGCTTGAGTTTGAGAGATCCCATGGAGCCTGCTTCACTAAGCACGGGAGCTACTGACTGTTGCTGACACACCTGCTGTCTGCTACATGTGGGCAAACTATTCCTGCCTTGCTTGAGGGAAGAATCCTTTGTTGGCTTCCTTGACTTGGAAGCCCACGGGAGTTGAAGGACTTCCAGTATATTAACTGATCCATGAAAGTGAATTGAACTGAGCCCTCTGTACTGCTGTGTGGACTAATTAGCTGTTACGTTCCTTCTCACTGTGTAAACCTATCCTCATATATAATCCTAAGTGTCCTGGCTTTATTTCTTTAGAGAGCCCTGCCTAACAAAGACCTTATCATTTGAGCTCCCTTTTTTCCCATTTAAAATTTTTTTCTGGCTTTTGATAATTCCTGCTTTCTTTTTGATTGGGTTTTTTTCTCTGGTTTATATTGTTTTTGTTGTTTCTTAATTTTTTGCGGGGTAAGGAGAATGTTTTCCAGTATCTGAAATTCAGGATGGGTAAAACTATAGCAAGAGCAACTGGATTAATGGCTCATTGGACTGTAGGGGAAAGGGCGGGGTGGGGGATGTGTTGGAGGAAAATGGGGAGCTGATAGCAGTGAGTACAGGAAGAAAGAAATTTTCTGGTACTGACTGTGGTGATAATTGTGTAACTCTTTAAGATACGACCAATTGAAGTGCATGATATGTGTATTATATGTCAATAAAACTTTTTTTTAATCCTTTTGATAGCAAAATTGACAGGATAAATCAGGACCCAAGGACCATCAGAAATAAACAGAAAATGCCCGGGGCTCACAAATCTCACACAGAGCAGCTCTTCAACCACTAGCATTCCACACAGGAACCTTCACACAACTGAGCAAAACCAACTGAAAAGTTTCTTGGTCATGCCAGCCATCAGAGGAAGATATTGGCAAGTGCCTACAAACCAATTTGCAAACCTTTCAGAACTTAAAACTGTAAAAGAGTTGGTGTACAGAGAAAGATTAGAGGTTGAAGTTGGGTAGTAGCAGGGGAAGCAATTACAAATTAAAAATTATTTGGGAAAGGCAGGGAGAAAGGAGGAAAAAAAATTACAGGCAATTCCATCCATCATTTACATTAAGAACACACTATAAGGTGCATTTCTGTGGGAACACATACTTTTCTGAAAGAAAAAAAAAATTAGTGCATACATACCTATCATAATAAAAACATGTTATCATGAGTGTGATAGTAATATCAGAAATATATGAAGGGCTTCAAAGAGTTTAAGGAAAATAGAAATGAAATATGATATTTTTTACACAAAGTTTTTAAAGCCCTGTTGTAGGCATTTTTCCATATAAATTCAACTACTCGAACCATTGCTTACCTAAAACTGTAAGAAAAACCTAGCAGGTTCAAGGTGGGTTGTCATTTGATTTTTCAAGGGAAATTTTGACTTTACTTACTCACTTATTGATCACCTTGTTAAATACAATTTCACATACCACATATACTCAAGTATAAGCTGACCCGAATATCAGCCAAGGAACCTAATTTTACCACAAAAACTGCATTAAAAATGTGCTGAAAAACTTGGCTCATACATGAGTATACACAGTATACACAACTTTGAAGAAATTATTAGTGGGTAACTATGGCCTAAGAGACCCTGTCATGCCTGGGATGCCTTCCATAAGCCACTCCAAAAGTATGTCTGAGAGACAATCAACTCGCCAAGGGTCTACACTCCCATTCTAATGCAATGCCTGGGTTGAGTTAGAGATGGCTTGAAGCAATGGTGATCTCACAGAGGTCTCAGGAGGCAAAAGCAGTGGATAATGGCCTTAATGTACTGGGAGGTCAGTAAGGGGAGTTGAATAAGGAGCCACGTGGGGTTGCAGGGATGAGGTGGGTGGAAAATGAGCATGGTCTTCACCCAGGGTGATGGTGGACAACACTCAACCATCACCAGCATCACCACCAACATCCCCAACTCCCATGGGATAACCCATGGTAATAAAGTGGGTCACAAAATACCCTGGGTATCTTGAGACCCACTGGATAGCAAGTAATCAAGTGTCACATTTGAGTGAAATTTGATTGTGCCATGTACCTCCACCAAAGAACCTTTCCCTGCATGGGTCTGGCAAGAAGATAGGGTAAGATAGTGATAGAATTCGCTTGTGTGGCCTACGTGATCACGAGGTGCCAAAGGGATCAGTTATCAGGCATCAAAGAACAAAAAATCATACCATTCTGTGCTCACCTCCCTGACACGATTGCTGAAGACAAATGGGTGCATAAACAAATGTGGTGAAGAAAGCTGATGGTGCCCGGCTATCAAAAGATA